GTCAGGGCCCGGCGAGCGGCCCAGGAAGAGGGCAGCGGGGCCAGGCCCCGCGAACCCGGCGCGCGCTGCCCGCACTCACTGCTCCTGACAATCTCCATCCCCGCACCAGCCCGGCCGGAGCCCCGCTCCGCAGCGCCCTACGCCCGGCTCTGCGCACGCCGAGACACTTCCGGAAACAATCCCCCTCGTCGCCGGGCACGTGAGCGCTCACGTGGGCTCCCCGACTGGAGGGGGGCGGGGCCAGTCTGGCGCGGGAGTTGTAGGCTCCACCCCGGGCAGAAAGTGGATGTGACCCGCTGGCGGCCCAGCGCGAGCCAAGGGGGTCCTGCTGGGGTATTGCTGTTCACAGCGGCATCTCGCCGCTTCCCGCAGCCGGGGCGGCCTCGCTAGGCTCCTTCCCTCCCGCCCCTAGTTAAGTCAATGTCATTTTTTCTTGAAGCGTTTGCCCTGCCACTCAACAGCCCATGCAGGAATGTGCGTTGGTTGCACGATCCCATTACTTTTTGGTAAATGCGGGGTTTGCTATGAGACTATTTTAGGTTATTTCAGGGTTGCTAGATGGTTTCCAAAAAAATACCAGATAAAAATTTGTGGAGCAAAAAAAAGCGCCTGGGAGTAACCAGGGAGCCCTGGGGGCAGGATTCGGGAGGTCAGGCCAAAAAGCAGTCATAGCCCCTTTAATTGTGTGTCCCCCGAGCGGGCTTCCAGTGGACACTAAGCCAGCCCGGAAAGCAGAAAAACTTACTTATTTAGAAAATACCAGACATTCATATGTCTCAATTTGTTTACTGGACACAAAGTAACGGTCTGTCTGGTTCAATAATGGACACCTGGCAACCCTGCTACTGGCTGTACCTAGTGAGGTACAGTAATGGAACTATGCCCAAAAGTAACCAAGGCTCACTTGGCAGCTCTTGCCACCACACAGCACTGTGCAATATAGAAATAAAAATGGGAGACTGGAGCCATGTCTACACTGGCAGATGTAAAGTGCTGGCACTTACATCGTCACTCAGCACAGCAAGGAAAATGCTGTTGGTGTCCACACTGTCAGCCATCAGTGCAACAGAGTGACCATGCATGCAATGCCTTTCGGAGCAGTGCGGCGCCTCTTCCCTTTCTGCCACACATATTTGTGGAAAGTTGTAATGGAGAGGTATCCCGGGTCCTGTTCAAATGCCCCAGAATGTGAAGTGATGGTTCTGTCCACATGTGACCCCGTCTTTCAACAGTTTCAGTGCTGCATGCTCTGTCTCCTCAGTCTGCAGGACTGGATCCCTAGCTGTTCATGAAAATGCTGATAGGTCTTACTAACGCATTGTAAATGGCAATCAAGTTTTTCCTGAAGGTGCAAAGTGATGATGAAGAGTCTGTGCAACATTCAAATGACACGAGATTTCTTGTGGCATTCACGGAGGTGCCACGCCCTGAATGGTGGGATCACACCATCATGCAAGCCTGGGATGATGAACAGTAGCTGCAGAACTTTACACAGAGAAAAGCCACTTCCTTGGGGCTGTCTGCTGAGCTTATCCCCATTCTGTGGTGCAAGGTCATGCAAATGAGAGTTGCCTTGCTGGTGGAGAAACGACTGGTGTTCGCATTGTGGAAGCTGGCTGTTCCAGACAGCTTTACCTCAGTCACCAGTTTAGAGTGGGAAAGTCAACCGTTTGACTCGTGCTGATTAAAGTGTGCAGAGCCATCAGTCAATGGCAACATGCTTCTCTATTCTAATGAGCAGCTCTCATTCAGATGTCTTTGTGCAGCAAATCAGGGCCAGCTCAGTACACAGTTCTAGGAAGGTTGCTTTACACATCTGAAAGTTCTGTAGCTTCTCTTCATCCCTCACCCACATAACAATGCAATCGCAGCATTCAGTACTGGTCTCCCTAGCACAAAAGCAATGCTCTACTCTGCACAACTACTCTGTGACAGCCCAAAGCAATGCCACTATGCTGCTGTCCTTGTCACTCATATTGTCATCTGCATCCATCCAAATCTTCTTCCTGAGATACTAAGTGCATAAGTAGCTTTGCTACAATGCATTATATATGTTTGAATACAGGATGGGAGAGAAGTCTAGGATCTATGATTTCTCACAGCAGATGCTGGCATGTGCGGCAAGATGGGTCAGTTTCAAATGCTATGAAAATAAAATGGAAGCCTTGGGTGGGCTGTGAAGAGTCTGACGAGATGTTTTTTACATTCTCAAAATATGTAATGTGCTACTTTGCACATTTCTACAGTGCCTAGTGACTGAAAGTGTCACCCTGCACTATGGGATGCATACTGCCATTGCTTTGCACTTTCTGTCACTGCGGGAGCCAACAATGTGGCCATCATATGTCAATAGAGCGTGGCAGCATAAACATGATTTGCCTACTTTTTTTTTGGCAACATGCTAATGTTAACAGTATTTTTGTTGCCAAATCTTTCCAGTGCAGGCATAGCCTTTGATGATCTGACCTTTGTAATCTGTTCAGTGTACACAAGAATGGATCACTTTAAATAGTCATTCTTTGTTTTTATAGCAATAAGAACTGCATATGTGTCTCTCCTTCCCTCTGGCTTATGATAGTTTCTTCTAGATTACTTCTAGGAACTTGCTCAATTTTTGTTAGGAGCAGTAAGAATTCTTCTGGAATTATGGGCAATTTCTTCCTTTAACATGGAATAAATATGCTTTATTTTATTATCTAGTATGTATAAAATAACATTATATAATGTTTGGAACCAATGCCCCCTACTTCCTACATAAGACACACCTTCATTTAATCACCAGTCATTCAATTAAAGTAGACATTCTCAAACTTTTCTGTGTGATATGACCCAGTATGGTCTATCTTCTCTCCCACACTGATAACTACATCATTTGGTACCTTTGGAAAGTAATATTAAATAGAGACTTGTAATTCTCGTCAGTGCCATGCTTTATCTTTGGGGGGGGGGGAAGGCAGGGATTCCTATTGCTCTTCATTTTCTCTCTCTCTTTCTTGCTCCTTTTTCTCTCATTGACTTAGCCACATGATTGTCTGCCACCTGATGCTTTTCCCCCCTCTATTTTCATGGGTATGCTTTACTGCAAGTTGGTCTCAGGTAAATGCATCTTTGTTGTTTGGGCCTCTGCTCTGCTACTTGTTTTTTTGCTATCTAAGAAGGTGTGCAAATTTGCAGAATTACATGCACTTTAACACAAATAATGTCTGTGGTTGCTGGACATGGTGGTGAAAAGCACCAGGAAACTACTTGTTATTTACAGAACTAGCCCAAATAATCTTCAGCTATGTTTTATACTTAGTCTTGATCTAGTTTGGGCAATTTAAATATCATTTGAACTTGATTTGCAACCTAATGTTAGGTGCTTTTAGCTGTTCAGTTCTCATTCATTTTGTAGAAGCTACAATATTTTTAAATCCATTAATGGCTGACTTTAGGTGTGGCTACTTGCATATGTCACCTGTATCTGTATATAACAATTAAATGAAAGAATAAAATGTTGTTCATTTCTACTGACTGCATATGTTTTTAAATTTTCCCCATGATTTTTTAGGTAATTTTTTTATTATGTATTTGTGTAAAACAAAGTTGGTCCAAGATATTACTCCCCTTTATCTGGGGGGTTAGACAAAAAAGGTGGAATTAACAGAATCTCTTTCTTGCACTACTGATCAGTTTGAGCACCTGGTAGGGTATATCACAGGCAAAGGGGTTAAGTTTGGTGGGAAGCAAGTGTCACAAGGGGGCGCTGTGATCTGGTTGATCAAGCTGTATCACACTACCCATTTCAGTTTGGCATTCACAGTACAAGAGTCTTTCATAGTATCTTAAATATACATTTAACAAGTTTTATTGCAGGCAATTCAGGAGCAATTTAAAAAGCACTATATGTATATGTATATTTAGTTCTAAGCAATTAAAACAACGTTAAAAGGTATCACAAGCATTAAAAGGCATTAAAAGCAATATTTAAATGGAATAATTAATAATCTACATCTAAACCTTAACCCAATTTAGCAGCCTAATTCTTAATTCAATTGTATACACACACACACACACTCACCCTCTGGGGCTGGCCAAACCCTAGGTAATGTTGGTTAATTTGTTTGAGGTGGAAGTCCGATGTGCACGTCACCCCGATATGCTGAGTCGATGGACTCCAACTCGTGGGGGAAAATGGTGCAGTATATATCCCCTCAGCAAGGGCCAGTTTGGTGAGATGCCATCCACTCGTTACTCACAGTCCAGGTGGGGTGATGTCCGCTGGTGAAACCCCTTTCTTCTTACTAGTGTGTCCACGACTGATCCAGAAATATCCAGTTTTTGCACCGCTTGTCTCACCGTAAGTGAGAAACAATGGTCTGTCCTTGGTTAGATTCTTCCCTTGTTACTTTTTCTTACCTGGCAATGCTGGGAACGCTGCCTCCGCATGCATACACAGTTCTTTTATCTCATACAGTTCTCTTTCTTAAAGTTGTAAACAAGTCCATAATCTTCCAGAGTTTTTGCCTGAACCAAACAAGTCAATAATCCTCTGGAGCCCATGCCTGGACCTCAGCATAGCCTCTCTTCAGCTCATTTACTGTAGATTCACTCATGTTAACCATTCACACTGCCCATGATTCATGACATAAGCTCCCCACTTTACCTGTCAGGAGAAGGAGGGTGGACAGAAGGCAGAGAATTCTCCCCAAGTTCTCGCCACTGTTACTTGTCCCAAGTCTCCTACACAGACAGAGGAGCCCAAAAGGTATTATCATTGTAATTCTACTGAGCACCTGAGGAACAAATGTCCAATACTGATTTGGAACAAGCAGGAGGTAACTCATGGAAATGCTGCTCCCCAGAGCCCAGGTGCACCCCAAGCAGTGGCCACTTATCACATAGGGTTTGTAAAGGTGGCCACTGCACAAACCGTGAACACCTACATGCTATCAGAATTAATGACAGAGAACTCCAAGGCTGTGTCTACCTTGGCATAATCTTGCGCAAATACTCTTTAATGCAAGAGTTCTTGCGTTAAAGTATTTGCGCAAGAGAGTGTCTACACTGGCATGTGCCTTTGGGAAGAGATGGGCTTTTGCGCAAGAGCATCCGTGCCAGTGTAGACGCTCTCTTGCGCAAGAAAGCTCCGATGGCTATTTTAGCCATCGGGCTTTCTTGCGCAAGATGGCACAAGATCACACCAATGTAGACACAGCCCAAGGGTGGATGGATAT